GTGTCAGTACTTCACCCAATGACTTTGTCCGTCTTATATTTTGCTATATTATATAGGCCTCTAATCACGGGCGGGACTGAGCAGTATTCTCAGCTGGTATAAAAACCTCTGCCCCTTGCCTGTCTCTGCTCACTCAGTATTATACCCAGTCTCAGTGGAGTCCGACAGCACAGTAAGAGGTAAGGACTATTTTTTTTATTGGTGTTAGAATATAATATTATTATGCTGGCGTGATATTTTTGCTCCATTTCCATAACATTTTAACATTTGTTTTGATTAGTTTGAAAGTTTTAAGGGAGTTTTCATGCCTAGAACAAATTTGAAGATGAAAATCAACCAGTAAAATCAGTCAAATTTAACTCTTCATGGCGTCAAATGGTGTAGCGGTTAGAAGCTTAGCTGTCGCGCGCAGGATGAGTTGAGATTCCGGACTGAGAATTTTCATTAAGTATCTCGATCTTTTTGTTGAGACGCAGCATCTCTCTCAGCCTGGGTTAGCACTGGGAGGCTGGGTCTGAAGCCCGCCTCCTGACTTATCTTGAGTCGATGGGGGGCATAAAACACCTAGAATCTAGATCTACATAAAAAGTAGCACAATGTTTCCTATCAGTAGATCATGTAAAATGTTACGGCACATTTTGAAACGGGTTGAGGGGGGTTGGCTCTCTTGGTCTAAAGGTGTTCAACTCTTTCAATTGGTTTCGGGTTCGAAACCTGACAGCGACGGGAAATCTTCTCAAGTGTTCTCCTTTCGTCTCATTCCCTGCTCTCTTACAATGTTCTGTCTGCTTTCGTCTCCACTTTCTGCCCCCCCCCCCTACCTTTGCTTCCTCCTCTGCGCCCCTGGCTTTTTCCGCAGCGTGTCTGCTTACTGATATTCCTTTGGCTCCTTACTCCTGTCTTTCAGCCACACCCCGGATCTTGCGGCAGTTAAGATTTCACACCTAGATCTTGTCTTCTCGGACAAGGGCGAAAAATCTCGGAGGTTCTATGTGCAAGTTGCGCATGTTAAAGGTCCCTCCATGGTCCTAAAATCGATAAGGCTTGGCCGCCACCTGGGCAAAATTCAGAATTCCTTCCAAACTGAAATATGTTCAATGTGTCACGCGCGTTCATATGACCTTATGCAGTTCCGAGCACCATTAAAAAAAACTAGCCTACCGTACCCCCACATTTCAGTGTAGTGTAAGCTTGTAAAGTTCATTCCTCGACTGTTAAACGTCTCCATGTCTTGAAAAATACTCACCCAGTCTGTTGAACTGTGTTTCGCATGCGAACGTCAAAGAAAACGTGTTGGAACCTTAGAGCTTGTCTCTTTATGCGTGTCTATTCCTTGCCGCTCTAAAAATCAAGATTATAAAGAAGCCGTCTCCTGCGAATTGTACCTCGGCGTTTAGTCGCGCGCGACTGTCGCGTCCGATCGGTCCATAGCGATCGAGGGTCACGTCGCTTACGACAGACTGGAGGTGTTGCAGGTTTAGAGCATCACCATTGGTCAAAATATTTATCTTAGGAGTGCCGGTTGACACGCTGTGTGTGGTGTGTGCGTGTGTGTGTGCGTGTGTGTGTGTGTGTGTGTGTGTGTGTGTGTGTGTGTGTGTGTGTCTCGGTGAAGGCAAGGCTCGAAGCTGTTTGCAAAAAGTAACTTACTACTGTCTCTTTGTTGTGAACTGCCAATCGCGCACGGGATTTACCAGTCGCGCCACTTCGTCGCGTCTTGCTTATACGGGGTGCTCACTACGGATAGGATCGGCGGGCCAATCGCCCGACTCGGTCGCCTAAAAAACAAACGTGTTTGTTTTCAGTTTCTGGTTTCAGTCGACCGAGTCGGGCGATCAGCCTGATCCAGCCGTATTGGGCACCCCGTATAAAGGAGACACACTTTTGTCGCTTCTGTCGCACGCGACTGAAAATTTGGGCGCGACATATATGCGCATAAGGGTACTCATCTCGCGACTGTCGCGGGCGACTAAATGTCGCTTCGCGCATAAGGATACATATCTTAGATTGCAGTCATCTTTATGGATGGGCTTTTAGATTCCATTGATCATCTCGTATGCAAAGATCACAGAGCGATTCGACTTTATTTTTTAACCGCGGTCAGACGAAAGGGAACAATGAAGCTGTAGTAAGTCTATTATTTTACCGTTATAAATGAAATTCTCTAAACGTTAAACGTGCTGTTTTTTCCTCCAGATGGTAGATCCAACGACCACATCTTCGGGCGACGCTCAGGCGGTGACAGAAGGGGCAAAGGCCAAACGAGCAAAGCCGTCCTCGACCCCCACCATGTACGTCATGACCATGGAGGTGCTGGCGGCAAACAATACCACCAAGGGCATGAGCTTGCAGGTAAAGCACGTCCACTTGGCTTTATGAGACGAAAAGCTATTAACAATTATCTCCTTACATTAAAAATGACCAAAACTGAATTGATAGTGCCTTAAAACACCTACCCAAACAAACTCCTTACATTAAAACACAAATTACTGGGTACGGTGAATTCACAAAGAATTTCATCTTGATCGCAAATCTTCTCAGACCCCCCCCCCCCCCCCAAATAAAAGACAGATATAACACACACACAAAGAAAAGGGGAATGTCGGTAGATGTCCTCTACACACTGCAAAGATCCTCTAGCTGGCATATTTCATTTTTTAATAAGATATACCACAGTATACGATACGTCCACGAACGCGCACACATGCAATCTCATATTACCTGTCTCTGCTGTTTTAAGGAAAAACAATCTGAAGTTAAGCAAACTGAGCCAAAAAATGTGAAATTATGCGATTCTGTTAATTTTAACAAAGAATGATAAAGGAAAATCAGAAATTATGCAAAAAATTATCAAATTTTGCTGAATTATGCGGGGTGCATAAAAAAAACCGCGGGGACAGTATTACTAATTAGCTTTGTCACGCATTTTTTCTTCTCATTTATTTATTTATTTATTTATTTGCTTATTTAACAGGCAATCAAGAAGCAAATCGTCGAAAAATATCCCGAAGCTGAAAAAAACTTCTCCAACGACAGACTGAAGAAGGCCGTCGTAAAAGGTCTTGAGAGTAAAGAAATTGCAAGAGGCAGGGGTTCTGTTGACTCCGGCTTCAGGGGCTACTTTCGTCAAAACAAAGCTGTTTTAGAGCAAAAACAAAAAGAAGAGCAGAAAGCCTTGAAACTCAAGGCTAAAAAGCTAGCTGAAAAAGAAAAGGCAGCCAGAAAGTCGGCGAAAGAAAAGACGTCAAAGAGCTCCTCAAAAGCTCGCTCTCGGTCCAAATCAACTTCAAGGTCAAAAACAACGAAAACCGGCACATCTGCCAAAGCCCGGGGAACCATTAAATCGGGATCCCTCTCTCCCAAATCCAAGAAAGTCACCAAGCCTAAAAAGGTCACTTCACCGAAGGCCACCACACCAAAGACCGCCGGTCGAGTTGCTGCAGTAACTCCAAAACTGAGCAAATCTGTCACAGCAGGAGCTAAAGCCAAGGTAGGGAGATTACATTCTGGTACACTGAATTGTTTAACAGGGATAGCCTTAAATAATGTCTCGGAATTTGCATGTCACTTATTGTCATGTGTCATTTCTTGTCACGGCACTTAGTTGTTACGTTTTAGGACTTGGGTTTATGTTTTGCCCCCCCCCCCCCCAACCTCCCCCGTGGCGATGCCACTGACTGAAGTGTCTTTAGGCCATTCCCAAAGGGGGACATTTCTCGTTCTAATACACAAAATTGTAAATGGGCTGATCCAACGTCACGCTCATAACTGAGCCTGAACTGCAACAGGGAACTGCTGCTTTTTCTTTCCTAATCCTTTCTATCATTTTCCACTACTTTCGTATGTTTGTCACACTCTCGTGACCCGTTATTTCCGGGGTGTCTTGATAGTCGAAGCAGACTTTGTGTGTTGAAGCTAGAGAGGTGAGCAGAGTAAGTCTGATTCCCTGTGTAAGGACTCTCTGTTGACATCCACCCTTTGGCGCTCATTTGACCTTATGCAGTTGTGAGTGCCGTAAAACTTCTGCTAGAACTTTTTAAAGTTATGTTTTGGGCCTTGGTGTCATTAATTTTGTTTCGGACTTGGGGTCATTCATATTTATTGCTTAGGACTTGGGTATCACTTTTGTCATTGGAATTGGGTATAATTTTTACCATGACATGGATAATGCAATGTATCATTTTTGCCGTAGGACTTGGGTATTGTGTAATAGGATTTGGGTGTCATTTGTGTCATAGGATTTTGGTGTCCATTTTAAACGGTTCGGGCTTGGACGTGAAGGTAATTTATTTTGGACGTGCCGTAAAACACCTACTCAAACATGCAAAACAAGACAAATGGGGTCGAGGTCGAAGAAACCCATTTTCTTTATCCAATTGGTTGTTGGGGTTTTTTATTTATTTTTTTATAGTAGAGGGTTTCACGGCACTAGCAACAGCATAGTCATATGAGCGCCAGTTGTTTTGTTTTTTGGGGGTTTTTTGGTGGGCGAGGGCATTTACAATGTTTACTTTCAGGGCTGCGCCGTTTAAACACATTAGCCAACAGGCAAAATGACGAATTATCTGCAAGCACATCACAGAAAAATATCTTCAGTACGTGGAAGAATGCATTTATCGCAGAAAATGATTTGACAATTTATTTTTAAACCATTCGTTTCTTTTACAGACTGCGTCGGTGAAGAAACTCCTGAAGCAGCCAGCCGCTAAGAGTAAGAGCAAGACCAGCAAGTCAGCAAAGAAGGCCTAAAGAGGACAAAGACCGAGATTAATTCCCCCGAGTACTTTCGCATTAACAAAAACGGATTTTTACTTAACATTTTCTCAATCATTAAAAGAGGCTTTTACTTTAATGTTCTCAATCATTATAGGCTTACTTCCCTTAAATTACATTTCAAGAGTGAGACCCAGTTAAAATTGAACTGAAAACTCTATCAGTACCGTGAGATTCAATAATCCACTTTTACTAAATGAACTTTTCTGTGCTTTGATTTTAAAATAAATTTTTAGTCTTCAACCATTTGTTTGTCTCCTCATTTTTACCTTGAAAATGGAAAAGTTGAATCTTGTGATCTTTTCACTGATTCTTTAGAACAGGTAGCCAACATCTTGTCAATGATGTGGCAACACTGGCCTTTAGCTAAACATTATAAACCCCATTTCTGAAGTTTAATTTACTTGATCAGTTTAGCAAAATATGGAGCCATGTTTTGAATAAATAGTTCACAACTGGCCAGTTGTGTAAAAAAAAACAACAACCTATGAGTCCATGAGGTACAGAATCATTCACCTTCTTTGGCAGTGGCGGGGCGCCTTTGGTGCAATTGGTGCAAGCGCTCCACATAACCGTGGCCTTCACACCCCCCCCCCCCCTTTCTAATTGTTCAAAACCAGTCAGTCTAGATCTGGCCTACATCCTTGCCACTCGTCACCCGCTGGCTGCGCGCGCGCCTGTTGAGAGACAGACAGCGAGGAGGGTTTATGCTCGTCGCACCGCTTGCGGTACTGTCTGCTGGGAGCAAGCAAAATCTTTGCACCAAAGTTATTTTTGTCACTGTACTGTAGAGAAATCTAGGCATTGTTCTTCCCGCACAAGAAGAAAGGTGCGTGAAACTGCTCTTCGCAGCACCAATAAGCTAAAAATGTGATCCAAGTTACCGCTAGCCTACTAATTCAATGAAGAATGGGTATCGAAACTTGTCGCCCTCAATTGTGTAGCAAGTCCTGTTAAGGTAAATTTTCAAATTGAGTCTGGTTGTTGGTGCTGTACGAAGTAATTAGAAATCTTTAAATCTTCTCAGATTGTGAGCATATTGAGTTGTTAATATTGTTTCCCCGCGGGGACACCATGGAAACTGATAGAAAAGGATGGTCAGGACAGGCTTCGCTGGAGTAATGCTGTTGATGTCCTGTGCTCCACTGGGAGTTAAAAAGGGCATGAGAGAGTATTTTCACTTTATTTAAGTTTTTTTGCGGTTTCATCTAGAAACAGTTGTAAATATCGATAGATGTAGATTACAAGATATCCTGCAGATTCTGACTTTCTCTAGAAATATAGATGAATCACGTTGACCCTTTGCTTCTTGTACTATTCAGCAGGCTACAGTTAGAAAAGTGCGCATAAAAGAGCTTGGTCTCTCAGCCGTGGGATTTTGAGCTCAAGAAATGTTCACTTTTTTCCTGAACGTAGTATGATAAGTAAAATAAATTGTACTGTTTCCATTACAAGTCTGCTTTTTACTGATCGATCAGACACTGACAAGGTTACGTCATCAATCACTCTCTCTCTCCCTTCTCCTCTCCCTCTCTCCTTTCCCTCTCTCTCTCTCTCTCTCGCTCTCGCTCTCTCCCTCCCTCCCTCTCTCTCCCTCCCTCCCTCTCTGACATCCACCCCTTGGCGCTCATGTGACCTTTTTGCAGTCGCGAGCGCCATAACACCTTACTGAAACTAGCGACCTTGAATAGTTGCTCTTCAAATATTCAGTATCTCCGCAAAGGTTAAAAAGAAGCCATGACCTGGAATGGATGAGATGGACAGAAAATGGCTGACTGTTAAATTAAATGCCCCTTTTTATTAAGAGGTGGGACCTTACTTCGAATCTAGTTGTTTTTTTTTCCCAATTAAAAAAAACACCGGTCAAATTAGGTTATCAACCGAATAGGATTCGAACCAAGGTCAGAGTGATACGAAGTCGGCGGGCTATACCCCCCACACCCCCACACCCCACTTTCAGGACTGCAGATTGATGTAGGCCTAGTAGTTCTGTAGGCTGGGTTGTCAGGGTTCAAAAGTTTAAATCGAGACGACGACCAATGTCATCATTCTACAAGTTGTGGCATTGAACCAGATCCGCTCTACTGGAAATTGTTACCGCCACGTCGGTGCACAATAAAAACGATTGTTTAATGATGAAATTTACTTAAAATGGATTATATATCTTCACATCTTATGATCTTGACAATCTGCCCGCCCACATTTTACGTCAGGTTTAACTCTCAGGAGCCAACACAATGGAACACAGTATATGTAATAGGACGCAAACTCTACTTTTATATATGGGTGGTGCAAGTGTGAAAAGGACTGGAAAGGCATCAGATTTTGGATCCACCCTATTTTCCAGCAACGAGAATCATTAAGCGAGTGTTGCTTGCGGATAAGTCCTTGGCGGACCTTCCATAGACGGCACATGGCACGCGTGCGAAATAAAAATTAAACACAACCATTTAGAGTTGCACACTCTATTGACGGCACGACACAGCCACGACGAAACATTGCTTTGCTGCATTGCTCGTTTTTTTTTTTTGTGTCGTGTGCTGCCAAAATGGATGACTACAAGAAAGATTATTGAACTTGTGAGAGACCGACCGCTTTTTGGGACCCCCAAAACCCGATTGGTTCCCGATAATTACAACCAATTGGTTATAGACGAGGAAGCACTAGGTTCTTCAGTTCATCATACGTTCTGTATGACATTCTTAGGTAGTTGAAGAACAATGTCTCATCAAGGAGCTGAAAGTTCGATATAACTCTCCTCTACTACTCCTCAATAGAAAATGTTCTCTGCACCACATGATCCGCTTTTTCCTCTTTTTCTGATTATCTAGAATTGCTAACATGATCAGAGTATCTTCATCAGACGAATCCATGGTTGTCATGTGTTGTGTTGTATTGTCATGCTATGCTATGGCCTATGGAGGGAGGTGTATTAGCCTGTGGCACGGCACATGCCGAAAAGTCATGTGCCGCGTGCCGTCTATGGAGGGTCCACCTAACTTAGAGGCCCTACACATGTACGTACGTTCCAAACTACCCGTTCGGAATGAAAAGGCAAACCTGGCGGCACAACTGCAGGTGTGGATGAAAATCAGCTGGTAAAAAGTTAAACAGGGAGGCCATACTAGTGGTTTAAACATGTTGAATTTTCTGACTACAGTTCAGCGCTTTCCGTTGATGACGGCCTTTGTGTGACATCGCAAGCTAAGCACTTAGCCATGTTATCTTGTCACTGCCAATATGGGTATGGCAGAATGTGGAACAGCAGCTGGAGGGTCATTACACGTCTTCCTCTAAACGTGCAGACAGTGGAGTCACCTTCCCCGCACCCTTTGTTCCGTCTGGCCCCAATGTGGGGAGAGTCGAGAGGCAGGTTTAATTTACAGGAAAAGCGTAGCGAGCGACAGTCACCAACCTCCCACCTCCGCTTTTTGAGGCGAGTCCCCTCCCAGCGCCAAAAAAGGTTGGTGACAGAATTTTATCGCAGCACTAAAATTTCTCACACGTTCAGTCACCAAAAACGGTGAGTGTACTCACTCGCACTCGATACAAAAGGGCTTGGCCTAGCCTAAAGCTTTCTTTTTTGTGCAGTACCGTATCAAGCAACTTCCAATTATAACCAAGATGGATCCCGAACAAGATGAGGCTATAATTAATGCAGTGGAGAAGAGAAAAAGTATAGGTATGACAAAACAAGCCCTGAATACAGCAACAGAATCTCAATATTTTTACACTGAGAAAATGTTATAACAATGACGAACATTGATTCAAAAGAGTGAGGATGTCACCCCTTCAAAGGGGAGGCCTGGGGCTAGCTCCAGAAAGGTGACTCTCCTCTGCCTACACCTTCAGTCAGAGATGACACCTCTTGGCATCCAGGTAAGGAGACACAACAAGCATTATACCAAAAAATAATTCATGCAAATACAGTACCACTATTCCATCACTTTATTTTTGCCTTTTTCACTTTGAGTTGCCTATAAGCTTCAATAAACTCATTTCTCCTTGCATCAGCAATGACCTGCTGTCCTGATGACAGAGCTTTCCTCTTCACTGTCTGCCCGCGTTGTCTTTGCAGAGAAACGTCTACACCATTCGCAGATTCTGCCATATTTCGGATGATTGCTTCTTTCAATTCAGGCATCCTCAGTCCCGGCTGTTCATCCAAAAAGAAAATACATGATGTGTTGTCAAAACATGAGTAATTTGAGTCATGACAGTGGAATTGGACGCCTGTCATTTTTGTAGCACATGGAGTTTTTAAGTATCATCTTAAAGCATGTTCATTTATTGTCTTAAAAGTTTGAGATATTTGTAATTAATGAGGTGGGGGTTGCCTAGTGCCAGAGGTAAGATTAGCAAGAAAATGGCCACCAAAGTTTGGTGACTTTCACTTTCAAAGCTTCAATGTACTTAACTGGATTTTTGTTGTTGTTGTTGTTGTTTCTTTTTTTTTTTTTGGGGGGGGGTGCCTTTTGACTGTTTTAAAGTAAAATCTGTAGTACATACAGAAATGTTTTTTAATTGGACATTAAAATAATTAAATTATAAAAAAAACATTAAAAAAAGAAAACAAAAAATTTTATTGATTAAAAATAGCCCAAGGTGCAGAAAAGTATTTTTTTTATTCCATTATTTTGACAAGAGCCTGATTTCACCACCATGACAAAACACTGCTTTTTAGAATTTAAAGCATAAAATCAAAGCAATCCAATAAGTATTTTAAAACTTATTCCTGTAACTACTATTACGTACAGGAACACATAATATTTAACCATGATAAACTGATGATGATTTAAAATCCAAGGAGGAAGAAATTATAGATCTTGTTCGCTACTTTAACACATTGAACCACAACAAACAGGTATCTCAATCAATTCAAATGTGGATTTGAGAAAAAGCAATTATTTCATTCATGAAACCCATTTTGTTTTAAATATTTCCCCAACAACCATGTCTGTGTACAAATCTTGATAATAATATCATTCACAATGAAAAGATTTACCCAAAATAACGATAATTAGGAGTGAAAATTCAGTTACACAGCATTATCCTTTCATAATTTAACTTACTTTATCAACCCCCATAGTATCCACAGCCTTCTTCGGTCTGACAGTGAGGACTGGAGGGGCATGCACAACATCTCCAAACTCCACCTTGTCTAGATAGAAAAAGCCACACAACATGAAATGAATTTTTTTTTTTTTTTTTTTTTTTTTTGTAAAGTGTTTTACGGCGCTCGCAACTGCATAGGTTATATGAGCGCGCGGGACACTCCTAATATTTTCAGTTGGTAGGAAATTTTGAATTTTGCCCGGGTGGCAGCCGAAGCCTACTCTTATCGATTTTAGACCACCAAGGGATCTTTAACGTGCGCAACTTGCACACGGGCCCTCCGAGATTTTTCGCCCTTGTCCGAGAAGGCTAGGTGTAGATCTTTCCTACCAGAAGATCAGGGGTGTGGCAGAAAGACAGCAGTAAGGAGGAGCCAAGGAGTAGCAGTAGAAAGGCTGCAGAAAGAGTCAGGAGCCCAGAGGAGGGGGCAAAGGAGGTGAGGGGGTGGGGGCAGAAAGTGGAAATGAAAGCAGACAACAGAACATTGCTAGAGAGCAGGAAAGGAGGTGAAAGGAGACAATTTTAGAGAAGAAAATTTTTTGGTCGCTACCCGGAATCGAACCCGGGACCTTTGAATGAGAGGCCAACACCTTAACCTCTAGGCCACGAGAGCCCCCGAAATGAATTTCTTCTCAAAAAGAACCAACATATATGAAGAATGAGTTTCACTTCTACTTCTATCACAAGGTAGCAAATCACATCTGAAACTGAGCCGAAGAGAAGCAGAGCAAAGAATGAAGAGTCTGAAAAATTGGACTTTTGGGACTTGCGACTTTTCACTCTGTGAATGCTCAATGCACTTTACAGCAAAGACTACTATAAAATCTTTTTTAAAAGCTCATAATACACGCAAGCATGCATGCACGCACACTTTTGTGTGGATTTATTGATACTCTCTGTGAAATAAGTGATGTACAGAGTGATGACAGCAACAGACAGGCAGTACTTTTGGGGGGGAAGGAGAGACACGAAAGCTTGCGTTAACGTAGCGGGTAGCCCGTGTTCACGGCGTCCTCACACGTACGTTAATTCTTTTTTGCGCACCAGACCTAGATGTAGATCTAGAGAAATTACGTTAACAAGAAAGAAGAAATTTTTTTATGGTGGTGGTTGAAGAGGAGGTATATGCAAGGTCACCGCCGATTCTGGGTACATCCCACATGCAAAGAACGAGGCAAAACAGGAGAATTTAAAATGTTGCACCAAATTTTTGAAGATAACAAAACATGCTTAGCATATTTTCGCATGACGAAGGCAAGCTTCCAAAGCTTTTGGAATTATGTGGACTACATATTCAAAAATAGAATACGAACTGGAGGAAGCCCATTCCACCAATTGAAAGGCTGACAGTTACACTGGTGTAAGATGTTGCTGCAGCTGCTGTTGCTGCTTCTGTTGTTGTTGTTGTTCTTTTTTTTTCGCTGTTGTCCTTGTAGTATATGACCTACGTAAATGGACTCTACCGTATCTGTCATTTAAGAGCCCACACTGTGCCTCCCAAAGGGCATGTTCTTTTCAGGCACATTTGTTTACTTTGAAAAATGGGAGCAGAAATAAATAAACAAATAAAACGACTATTGAAATTCAGAATAACAAATTCAATAATTAACAATGATGCAAAATGTATTGACTATACCTAAATCAACATGTCAATAGAAGAAACAAAACTAAAGACCCCCCAAAAATCAGTTTGGAGACAGAATACTGAGATCAAAGTCAAGTGGCATTAATTTAATTTTAAAGTTAAAAGGGGGCAAACAAAAGATAATCAACGAAATCAGTGTCGGTGAAGCCACAGCACGTACGGAAAATGTTTGACATGCTAGACGTCTTACGTTTTTCACGTAAGCGTGAGGAAGCGTGTCGTCCGCAGTAGGCCCAGGTAATGTAGAAATAAAAGGTTGAACGCTTCCATTCGCACTTTGTGAGTACGTAAGCATATGAAAGCGGAGTATGTGGACCTTGGCTCAAATTCACCCTTTTGGATGTCAGGAAAAACAAGAACTATTTGGAATATAGCCTCACACTTAGACAAATGGGCTGCTTTCATAGTCAACAGTCCCAAAGCAGTCAGTTATCCATTTCGATCAGGCACATAACTGTTGCTAATACGAGGGTTGATTAAAAAGTAATGGAGGTTCTGAAGTGTCTCAAAAACTTTTACTGCTTTGCTATGAACCTGAAATCTTCAATCCCTTGAAATACTCTTTCCAACTTTGTATGCACGATTTCAGCCTCTTCCAGAAGGCACAGTGATTGTCAGCTTCCAATATGCTTCCCAGCTCTAAATTTACAGCTCTTGTTAGGTCCTAAATGCATTTAAACTTTCATCCAGCACACTTATCTTTCAGACAAGAAAATAACAGGAAACTCAGTTTCTAAAGGGGACACATTTTTTTCATATGGAGTTCTCTAAAGTTAATATTTATCACCGACCCAAACAAAAGTCCAGGGGGGCTCTCGAGGCCTAGAGGTTAAGGTGTTCACCTCACATTCAAAGGTCCCGGGTTCGAATCCGGGTGGCGACCGAAAAATTTTCTTCTCTAAAATTGTCTCCTTTCACCTCCTTTCTAGCTCTCTAGCAATGTTCTGTCGTCTGCTTTCGTCTCCACTTTCTACCCCCACACATTATCTCCTTTGCCCCCTTCTCTGGGCTCCTGACTTTTTCTGCAGCCTTTCTACTGCTACTCCTTGGCTCCCTCTTACTGCTGTCTTTCAGCCACACCCCTGATCTGCTGGTAGGAAAGATTTACACCTAGCCTTCTCTGACAAGGTAAAAAAATCTCGGAGGTCCCGTGTGCAAGTTGTGCATGTTAAAGATCCCTAGGTGGTCTAAAATCGATAAGAGTAGGCTTCGGCCGCCATCCGAGCAAAATTCAAAATTTTCTACCAACTGAAAATGTTTAATGTGTCCCACGTGCTCATTTGACCTTACATAGTTGCGAGCGCCGTAAAACATTTACAAAAAAATCAGACAACCCCAAAAACAAAAGTCCAGACATGTCACTCAATTCTTGTATAGGGTTATGAGGATCTTTCAAAATATGGTGCTAGATAACATCAACTGTTTTCTCGTTCACATAGAGAGGAATTTGCGTGCCCAGAATGCGAGTCATCAAAAGCAGTGTCTCTCCCTTCACTTTATACATTACCCAACGATAAAATGTTTGATATGAACAAGAAGATTCTCCACAAATACTCTGCAAAATTTTCACAAACTAGTTTATAACGGTTTGCAAAGTTCATAGTGTATAGATATATATAAAATAGATGTTTTCTTTTGTGTACTTAAACTAAAGTGCGGTAAAAAATTTGTGGTGCAACTTATCCTCAAATACCTCAGGGTGAATCAATGTCCCCCATATTTTGCACAGCAAATTGTATCAATTTGTCTTGACTTAATCATAATTTTCCACAACAATTGAAGTTAGATTAAAAAACTTTTCTTCATTGATTTATATAAAATACAATAATTCTCCTTCACACGGAAAGTGGGATTGTTAACAGCATGTCCTGCTTTTTACATCATTTTGTACAAGTAGTATATGGCCTACGTCACAGCTCACCAATGACAATTTTTAGTGGAAAAACTTGTTACAAGAAATTAATTTCATAGTGAACACATTTTTTGCTTTAAAGGTGCCCAAAAGATGCATTCAATAAGCATAAAATATCACGATCAGAAAAAAAGACGGACTTGCTTTTAAAAGCGATATTGCCCTAGCTGTAAACTTTTTAAAATCTGTAGAAACCACGCACTTGGATTTTTTTATTAGTATTTATTAAGGAATTTTCTAGAATACAGCAAGCAGATGTTAATTAAAATATTGATCTGTTTAAGACAAATTGATACAAATCATTGTGAAAAAGTTGGAGAACCTATGTTTGATAGTGTTGAAGAGACATCTGAAAATAAGTTGTGTCACAAATTTTTGACTGCACTATAACTGCCTCCAGAGGACAACCCATCCTTAGTGACGTCATAAAATAAATAGAGTGAAGTCACATAAAAACGCCTATTGTTGGCTCAAAAGCAGAGAGGTTATAGATTAGTTATGAGTACATGCATAGATTTTATGACAGAAGCTTATATCTTGGCCACTTGATAGCAACTTCCATTACTTTTGATCTACGCTCATACTTTCACCACGGATGTTTTTGTATGAAAAGCTATCCACATTGCTACATTTATCATGGATATATTCTAACACGCAGAGGCATACAGCAAGACTGGCATTTTTATATATTCAGCATTCCATTGGCAAAGGAAAAACAACAGTAAAAAGGAATCTAAAAAAAAAATTGTTTAGATTCAAAACAAAACATGTGTAGAAGTAAAAAAAAATGTTCACTAACATAAAATAGTCACTAGACCCTATCAATGCCTTGTTCTTTTAAGTTGCTTTTTTGGTAACGACGGAATACGTACATGGAGCTTCCTCTTATACTTGCGCATATTTAATGTGTATTCGTAACTGGCTTCAAAGGCAAACCCTTCAAAACTCTTTTCTATAAAAAATAAATTGTGTGGTCACTGGCCAGGTGGTTAGGCTGTCAGACTCACAACCATAAGGTCCTGGGTTCAAATCCCATCATGTGCCCGCCGCGGTGTCCTTGGCAAAAGCACTTTACCACCAGCATTTTCCTCACTTCAGCCAGTTAGGAATGGGTACCCAGCTATAGACAGCAAAAGATCTTGTCATTTTGTTCGTATTTGAACACTTAACCAGCTGCTTGCACTGTATGAATCTCCCAGGAAGCTGAGAGTGTTTCTGAGTGCTCTAGGTTTTGCTTGGGTAATAGTATAGTGTGAAGTGCTGTCGAGCAGGAATATGCGCTATACGAATGCCCTATTCATTAAAATATTATTATAAAATGATGCTCAGACCCCTTTCTTCATTTTCCACAAAAGTTCCAATCACATAATCAAAACGTAAAATACAGTAGCAAGCAGTGAAAGAAAAAAAAAATTATATTATACAGACAGTGGTTTACCTTGTAAAGCATTAAATCCAGTGAGTTTTTCTTGCTTTTTCTCTTTCAATACTTCAGCCTTCAACTTTTTCTTGTCTGCTAAACGCCTGAAGAAACAAGGTTTTTAAAAAAAAAACATAATATCAAAAGATGCCATCTTTAAAAAACATATAAAGCATCACTTGGGATGCAGCTGGAAGTTAGTAGGTACATTTTTTTTCCTCCCCATATTAACAACAAAAAAAAGCACGACTCATTCACATATCATGAGCCACATAATTTTTAATCTTCTTTGCCATATCGACAGGCTGAAGGGCTAGAACTCAAATGACCTCTGGATCAGAAAAGTAAAGTAAAGTAAAGTAAAATCACAAAAGTAGTTCTATCAATTTTGAACAGTTTTAAAGGAGAAATCCTCAATGACAAATCACAAACAATGACAGTACATAAATTGCTAAATAAAAGGAACACTATATCACAAAACATGGGCCCTTTGTTTCTGCTAAAAATTATCAGATTTCTTTATATTTACAGCGACAGACAAAACATAGACCTAATTTGTCTGAACATCAAGATACTTACTGTTTCTTTTTTTCATTCAGTTTTGACTTTTTTGCTTTGACCATCATCCCAATTTTTTTCTCATCATCAACCTGAAAAGTAATGCATAAAAAGTTTCATCAACAGGTTGGCAGAGGACTCTTGCAAGAATCCAGTAACGAAACTACAAAAATTATGAAACAAGCAAAGAAGAAAACCAAGAAGAAATTCAAAAAGCACTTTGCATGAGGGGGGAGTTATTAAAAAAATACAGACCAACATCATCTGCAGGAAACCTCAGAAAAAAAGCAATCAAGATTCAAAAGCTAACGAGTATACATGAAACATTTACCAGAATTATTTATTATTTGGACCTGGTTGTTGTTACAAAAGATGTTGCTGTTCATGTTGTTGTTGATAAAGAATATAAATTTACAGGAGAGAGCATGATAATAAGGAGATAAAAATAATGCAAGCAATGAAGAGAAAAAGAAATAGCAGACAATATCACTACACCGTCTACAAACAGAAAGACAGAAAATAAATCAGAAAAGGGACAGTAAAACACACGAAATCAATGAGTCAAGTATTTTACTTTTAAAAACTTTTTTAAAGCAATTAGGCCCGACTTGAAATAGCTCATGAACTAAATAGAAGGAAAGTAATCAGTTCTTTTTGACTCCTTATCTCCAGCAAGCCGCTCCCAGCAGCTCATGGTCAGACAGCTGTGCTGGTGAGCCGCTGGCAGTGGCTCGGGCACATTCCTTTACGGCGACTTCGACGTCAAATTACTTTTCTGCAATTGCCAAAAACAGGTCTCGTATACCAGGAGTTCATTCACTCGATGAAAAACTATCAAAATAGGTTCACTTGATTCGATTTAATGACCAATTTAGTGACGTATTTGTCACTTTCAGATTTTGTACCAAAACAGGCCCCTCGCATAATGGATGTACCCCCCCTCAAAGATAAAGAATTAAACAAATGTTGTACAGCCCTATTGCAACAATTTAGACATTTCAAGATCAGGTTGTTCAAATCTGAAAGATGTCAAGACAAGGCAAAGATGGCAGTGACTGCAATCCAAATCGACATAAACTATTGAATATGAAGGTGGCAAGGACAGGCGGGCTAGCCCCAGATAGAAAAAAGGGAGATGGCCCACTTAAGATCTTTGGTGAGTACACACTACATGCTTTGTTGACACAAGAAGACAATGGTGTCCCGTAGATAGACCTAATTCATCTACACAGCCGATGTCATTAAAATTTTTAAGGCAGCCATAAAAGTAAACACAATCACAAGGACGAGTGAAAAACCACTCGGCCATTGTTGTTGCTTTTGTCTGAATGTAAATGAAGGAATTTTTTGGTACATTTTATTGGTCGGCCTTTGTTGGAACGACTGTCACTCGTCCTAGTGTTTCGTGTAAATGGGAAGTCAAATAAAATTTCTACCTTGCCTATGGAATAAATTAATATCCTACATTACATATGCAAAGCAAGGAGCTAAACCATTGCACTAAAGGACTAAAAAACACATAATGACAGAACCAAACCCACACAAAACTGCAAACAGGTTGAGTCTAAGAGCAGAAATATTTAGCATAAAATAACAATAATTCAGGACATTATCGGACATAGACACTTACATCATACTGCTCATCAATTTTAGCCTTAGCTAAAACCACATTTGTTTCTCGGTCCACTCTTCTCATAAATTTTGCTTGTGACTCATCATTCCTGCGTTTGAACTGAAAGGGTTCGACAAACGGTTTATTGGGTTTAAGGTTATCAATATACTCTTCAACATCCTCCTGTTTGAACTTGGATTTTTTCCCCTTTTTTCCAGGTTCCTTGGTCATGTCAGCTGAATGCTTGGGGGTTCTTTGTTTCTTTTTCTTTTGTGGTTTCTGTGATGGTGTAGAAATGGCAGCCGGCTTTGATTCAGGACTCTTTGATCCAAGTGGAGTGCCAAACTTACTGTCATATTTCACAGAACCTGTAGAACAGAAAGAAGAAAAAAACGTCTTAACGCACAGGAAACAATTTTCTTCGAATACAAAATAAAATTAATGTCTTTTATAGAATACATCTCACTGCGCACCAAGATTCGACTCTTTAACTCCAACGTCAAGTCTGTGCTCCTCTACGGCTGTGAAACTTGGAAGACAACAAAGACAGTACTGAATAAAGTCCAGATTTTCATCAACAGATGTATGAGGAGTATTCCAAGAGTCAAATGGCAGGATAGAATAAGAAAAGAAGAGCTGTGGGAAAGGACAGGACAAAAGAATATAGAAGTAGAAATAGGACTAAGAAAGTGGCAATGGATGGGACACACCTTAAGAAAGCCCAGCGGAAACATCACAAGACAGTCACTGCAGTGGAACCCACAAGGAGCACGAGGCAGGGGTAGGCCACGGGAAACATGTAAGAGATGCGTGGAAAGGGACATGAGAGAGATGATGCTCACTTGGAACGAGCTTGGAAAGATGGCTCAGGACAGAGATAAACGGAAGGAGCTTGTATGTGGCCTATACCTTGCCAGGGGTGAAAGGCATTGATGATGATGATAGAATACTAAAGGCACTGAGCAAATATAAATATTGCAGAAAACAGAAGCACTCTAAGTGATCAAAGACTGCTTTCCTCCTCCTGAGAGCATGTGAAGTAAACAACACTACAACACAGTTGGTCAGGAGTTAGAAAATAGAACCAAAGAACACCAGTATAACATGCGGCCTTCTAATAATGTCAGGAAAAATATAAGAAACAAAACATCTCCTCATATTAAAACAATATAAAATACATAACAATAATAAAGTCAAATATAATATTTTTCCCCTTAACATGATAAGTAAGTCATCTATGTAATTCTATACAAAGGTGTAATTCAACTCCAAGAACGCCTTTTTCGTTTAAACTAAATAAAAGCTTATGTATATTGTCCCATTCATCAACGACTATTAAATACAGTCGAACCTGCGATGACGGCCACCTGTACAAACGGCTACTTTCCATTCCCCCCCTTGCGTTTTTTCGATATAATTTTACTGTGTAAAACGGGCACCTGACAAAACGTGGCCGCGGCCACATTATCTTATCTCACAACCCCTATCACACCAAACAATAAAACCTGTCATAGACGGCCACCTTAGTGACTCCATTACATGTTTTGTCATAAATTATGCACTGGCCCCTGATGCTGTGGGCGAGCTGGCTTGATCCATTCCCCTGTCGTTACTGTCAGGTAGTCCCTCCAACCGATCACTTTGCTCACGCCCCTCCCACTGTTGACAAATAAGTAACACATTTTTGCTGCAGATGATGGAAGCGTGTGATCCCTCATAACCGAGACGTGTTATCAGCACGTCTCGCTCATAACCCATAAGCCCCACCCACAACTCATACACACAAATTGTAAGTGAGAGGAGTGGTCACTGTTTACCCAGTCAATAACAAAGTAACAATGGACGTCAACATGAACTTGAGACAGAAGCGTCCTTCGTTCTCCAAGCGGAGGCGACTCATGTGTTTGTTTTTACCATAGCACTCAGTCCTCCTTATCTGACACATTTTGTTTTATTGTCACCTTTGCACAAAAGCAGCAACAAAATAAAAAAAGAAAACAAAGCCCAGTGAAAACAACAACAACAATGCGGCTATCTTCAGTTGGGACCTCAGAAAGGAAAGGTTCGTTTTTTTCATCTTGACCAGTCCTGCCTAAGACGGCTACCTGTTTTATACAGCCACTTTTCTCCTTGACAATAGGTGGCCGTCTTACACAGGTTCGACTACTGTATGTAATCAGACAGAGATTGGGTGATGATCCACTTGAATATAGTCTGCCACAATGTAACACTATTCTACTTGACGGTCTACCACCAGACCAGTCTAACAACTGTTACACTTGATGGTCTACAACAATCCACATACAAAACATTTTCCTCCTGCTTTTATACAAGCTTGTGACTTTCATTGGTTGTGTTAAAAATGTTTTGGCCCTGAAAATTGAAAGGGACCATAAATCTTTTGGAGGCTGCAGTTTGAGCTTGTCGGGGAGGGGGGTCAGGGAAACTGGCCATCCTCTTTATTGAAGGTAGTTATCAATCAGAGTGTGGGAGCGATAATATAAAATTACCCGCACAGACCTACACACATCCATCCATCCACATCCACCCACCCACATACGACAATAGTAAATGACAGTTGCAAATGCCACCACCTTTGAAAATTTGATCTATCGTCCCAGCGCCTGGTCATCAACAACATCCCATCTTGTCACTTGCTGACCTTACAACCACCTTTTTTGTCCTAGTGACAAAGCACAGGTAGACAGGTCAATCTGGCAGGACTTACAATAGAACCGATTATCACAGTAGACCATCTAGTGAACTGGCACCATTAATTGTTAGCAGAGGTAGAAACATTCAAAAAGTGAATTTATTAGATCGAAGTGACTATTTCTCCGAACGTTCGGGAAAATAAGGTTGAACTCTATTTCTCCTAACTGTTTCCGATCTCGAGAGTTTTTGAGTTATTTGCGAGATTTACGCGTCATCTTTCATTCTGCCATTCTGTGAGGACTGGGTTTTAAAGCATTTCTTGCATCAAATTCAATTTCTAGAGCTAGAGATTTTTAAATGTCTGAATATTCAGGTACTTCAGTTGTGGTTGGGGCAACGTTCCCGGACTATACTTCCTTCATTTGAAAATACCTTCAGAGGGTACTGCGAGAAAACAAGACTGCTCGACCTTGGCACTAACCTATTTTGCATTATAGTCACCCAGCAAAAACTAAAATCCTTCATGTAAAAATAAAAATCCCTCCAAACCCCCCCCCTCCCACCCGTTCACACCTTAAACATAGAGAGACACACACACACACACTCCATTTGCTTATTAACAACAAATCTCGAGAACGGAAACCGTTCGGAGAAATAGAGTTCAAGTTTATTTTCCCGAACGTTCGGAGAAATAGAGCCGACCTTACCTTGTTCAGGTGTTAAGAACTTGTTCTTGCTTTTTTTCCTTCCACCAGAATTCTTCGCATCATCAATTATGTATCCTAAACGTTTCAGTTTCTTTGGTATTTCTTGAATTAAACTCTTGGGTGTCTGGTTGAGATCTTTACTGCGGCTGAAAAAGAAAAAATTATGTTTATCAACATTATTAATAGAACAAAATATTTATAAAGGCACAAACTAAACATTTCACTCATTCATATTATGACCAAGATATTTATGGGAAAAGGTAATTTAGAAATATTACAACTTTGATTAAAAGAAGGCTGTAGTTATTCGCACAGGATGTGTGAATACTGTGTGATTACTACTATGAAATTTTATTCGCACAGGGTGTGTGAATACTATGAAATTTTATTTGCACAGGGTGTGCTACAAAATATTATTGGCACAGGGCGTTTCAAAAGAAGGATGGAAATTAATTGGGCCTAGCATTTCCTCATTTTTTCCACCTCATCATTTAGGGACAAAGATCATGTATAACAAGATAGTTCACTCCTCTCTTTGAGCCAATTAAAAAGTGTCCTCAAAATTTGGTGCCCTCTTCAAAAAAGTGCGGACTTTGCAAACAGGGTGGGTTACCCTACTTGTGTGAAAAACAATAAAACTGAAATTAACAGACTGTGCTTATATCCTATTCTTCTTCTGGGGAAACGAAAGAGAGCTTCAAAACAAAGCACAAAGGCTCAAGCGCCATCTGAAGCAATGCGTGGACTTCTGCGAACACTTTTCGGGCTGAGTGAACATAAATGTGCTATCTTTGGTAGGGATAGATCTGATTCTAATTGTGCAATGCGATACGAAAACCCCCACTCAAATTGGAATTCAAGTTGTGTATTGTGTCAATGATAATGATAATGACTCAAGTCTCTCTTTTTTTCTTTTCCTTGCGCCTTGAGAGAGAGAAAGAGAGAGAGAGAGAGAGAGAGAGAGAGAGAGAGAGAGAGAGAGAGAGAGAGAGAGAGAGAGAGAGAGAGAGAGAGAGCCTTGCGCCTTGAGAGAGAGAGAGAGAGAGAGAGAGAGAGAGAGAGAGAGAGAGAGAGAGAGAGAGAGAGAGAGAGAGAGAGAGAGAGAGAGAGAGAGAGAGAGAGAGGGAGAGAGAGAGGGAGAGAGAGAGAGGGAGAGAGAGAGAGGGACGAGTGTATGCTTTAACCCTAAAAAAACTAAAACAAGTATGAAATTATACTATAGTGTACAGTTGTTTTATCATTTAAAGCCTTTTTTGCCAAACGTGGTGCTTATTGGCCCACAGGGCCATATAAAATTTCCCCTAGAAATTTATTATTTGCCCACAAAATTACGAGTTATCTCCCCTGTCTGTGTTTGACCCCCCACCCCTCAAATTCAGAAATGATAATTTTAAAATGAAAATACAACAACAAAATCCCCATTAAATATCAGAGAAATTATTTTATATATATATATATTATAATTATACACTTCTCTAAGGCTTAATTAATATATTTTACACCTGAAAGTAAGTCAATTTCTACTATAATATTAGATCTAGATCTAGAATGACTCCCAAACCAACAAGATCCCAAAAGATACAAAAACTCATTTGTGTTATAAGGATACAGAATGCTAATAGTAAGAGCCGTATTTATTATTTATTATTCAATCTTAATAATCAAAAACTATTAACGCTAGAGAAAGAACGAAAAGTCCTCTCATCTTCAAAAATAGCTCAACAAATTAGTCCATCAATCCCATATTTTAAATTGAGAATGTATAGTTTTCCAATCCAATGCTAAAAATAAAAAGATGAACAATAGCTAAGAAGTAGAACAAGTTGGGACAATACCATGTATGAAATACATTGAAAAACAACGCTTTAAATGGCCCATGTGGGCCAATAAGCCCCAGCTTATTTGCCCATGTGGGCCAATAAGAGCTGCCTTTGCCAAAAGGTGGGATACCCTGAGACAAAGGAGGTCCAAAAATCAATGTAGGCTCGACCCTGTGCGAATAATATTAACGCAGTGGCTATTTTTACGGCGAGCCGTAAAGATAGCCTCCCAGGCTATTTTTACGGCGTGCCGTAAAGATAGCATCCCAGTGAGTCCCAGGCTATTTTTGCGGCGATCCTCGAAAAGCGACACTACTCCGCCTCTCATGTACGCGACATGCCTCAATGTATTAGATCTAGGCCTATAGGGGCGTTCAAAATATAAACTTACAGCTCAGAGGGGAAAGGGTGTCTTTGGTTCCTGTAAGAAAAGTGTAAGATTGGGTGGGGAGGTTAACCAAATATGACACTTCTGTGAGATGAACGTTTTGCTCATGACTGGGAAGAAAAGGTAAAAAAAAAAGTGGATAAATGCCAGTAACAAGTCCCAGATCTGCATGATCACTGCAGATCCCCGTTGTTTTTTTGTTTTTTGTTGTTTTGGTTTTTTTTAGGGGGGGGGGGGGGGGGTACAAATAATTTTGAAATTATGATGAAAATTTTGTAGGTGGATATCTAATTTCTTAATGTTTCTTCGTAACTTTGCAACTGTTTTGTTGATCTTTTAGTGTCTTGATATCTTTTATTTGTAAGGCACGTACCTATTGCATTGACAAGAGTCTCAATGTCTTCCACATATATGCGTTTCTTTTTAGTCCATATGGTTTGATTAAATTGTAGTAACTGAAATGATTTTTTTTTTTTACAAGCTGGTTAAAAAAAAGCCACGTATAGTACAGGTATCTTTAAAATAATAATGAAAGTTGAAGATCGGAAAAAGTACTAATATTAAATTGGTGTAGGTGGGGGTTGGAGACAAATGGGAGAAAAGTGGTATTAGGTTTTGTGTTTTAAAAAAGTCTCCAAAAGTGTAAAATTATATTTGAACAGCCCCAAAGGTTTTCCATTTCCTCCTCTTCACCGTCATTCTATTCTCTTCTTCATCTTCCTTCTCCCTTCCTCCACCACCACCTCTTCCTTCTTCTCCCCACCATCATCATTCACCCTCTCTTTATCATCACCACCACCATCACCTCCTCGTCACTATCATTACCATCATCACTGCCACTGCCAGCATCATCATCTCATTCACTGACATCACTACATGTACCACACCCACAAGAAGAGCGGCCATTTTGAAGTTAACACTTTTGGCCTTGGGAATGCCGTTAAAATGTTCCTCCTTCCTTACAATTTGCACTGAGCAGATTTTTGATAGAGGTGTGAATTTTTTTTGTGTGTTCACAATGATTAATTTAATTATTGTGATGAAATTTCAGGGTACAGGAACACATATATATTTTTTTACATTCTAATATCAAAATTTTGCTCAGTACGATTGACCATAGTATCTGTATCTACCATTCCACCAATTTTCATGCAATTTTGTTAGAGAGTAAGAAGCCTTCGGTTTTTAAAAATTATTGTTTGTTTTGCATGTTGGTGCTGTTTCCATTCCATGGCAACTTTCATATTTTCCGACTTATCAAAATTTACTTTCTTCATTATTTCTTATGCGCGTATAATTTTTTTTCCTAAATATGAATCGGAAAAAGAATCACCCTTGGGGTGAGCTGTTCCCCGTAAAGATGGACAGTAATAATATGAGCACATCAGAAACAAAACACAAAAACTTTAAAAATGCTATCTATTTTATTATTTGAAAGAATCCCACAACAACAAGGTCCTAGTAAAGAACATAAAAACATTGAATTGTTTAAGTCCAGAATAAAGACTATAATTATGATAATACTACTAATAAAGGACATTTAATTATAGTGCCTTACTCTCGGTTTTAACCAGCTCAAAGTATGTTACATTAGTTTGGTCATTTAGTAAAATTGAAATGTAGTATAAAATAACAAATAAGGTAGAGCCTACAAGGCCTACAAGCCAAGACGGAATTTATAAGACTGAAAAACGTGTTCTACGTCATCAGTTTGTGACCGCCGTAAAAAGAACATTTCAGTTAATACAATTTAATCAAACCATACGAACTAGAAAGAATGCATATATATGTGGAAGACATTGAGACTGTTGTCAATGCAATAGGTACGTGCCTTACAAATAAAAGACATAAAGACACTAAAAGATCAACAAAACAGTTGCAAAGTTACAAAGAAACATTAAGAAAATAGATATCCACCGACAGAATTTTCATCATAATTTCAAAATTATTTGTAAACCCCCCCTCTAAAAAAACCCAACAAAACAAAACAAAAAAACAACAACAATGGGGATCTGCAGTGATCATGCAGATCTGGGTCTTGTTACTGGCATTTATCCACTTTTTCTTCCCAGTCATGAGCAAAATGTTCATCTCACCTCCCCACCCAATCTTCCACTTTTCTTACAGAAGCCAAAGACACCCTTTCCCCTCTGAAGTGTAAGTTTATATTTTGAACGGCCCCTATACTATAGGCCTAGATCTAATACATTGAGGCATGTCGCGTACATGAGAGGCGGAGTAGGGTCGCTCTTCGAGGATCGCCGTAAAAATAGCCTGGGACTCACTGGGAGGCTATCTTTACGGCACGCCGTAAAAATAGCCTGGGAGGCTATCTTTACGGCTCGCCGTAAAAATAGCCACTGCGTAATATTAATTAAGAAGTGACTATTTCTCCGAACGCTCTGGCAAATAAAGTGGTTGAATTCTATTTCTCCGAACGGTTTCTGATCTTGAGATTTTTTTGTTAAATTTGCGAGATTTAGGCGTCATCCTTTCATAATTTCATTCTGCTATTCTGCGAGGACTGGGAGGAAGCATTTTTGGCATCGAATTCAATTTTTAGAGCCAAAGATTTTTAAATGTCTGAATATTCAGATACTTCGAGAGCAGTGGTTGGGGCAACGTTCCCTGACTATACTTCATTTGAAAATACCTTCAAAAGGTACTGCAAGAAAACAAGACTGTTGACTTTGGCAGTAACCTATTTTGCATTTAGATTTTAGTCACCGAGAAAAAACTAAAATTCTTCATGTAAAAAAAAATCTCCCCCCCCCCCGTTCTAGAATCTAGAAGTAGCCATAGAATCTAGTAGCTCGAAAACTTACACGCCTTTGCGATCCCCATGATAAAACGGGTCGATTGCCTTTATCTTTTTCTGTTTCCTACTCCTCTGCGGCTTGCCAATTTTACCCATGGCTAGACCACTCGAGTAGATCTAGTCTCGACACTTTCGTTTCACCAACACGCTGTCTCCCACTCCCTGTGGAGGAAACTGTAGTAAACAGTACACTACCTGACCCGGAAATACAAGATCTACCAATGATATAAATCGGAAATTTCCGTTGTACTAAAATGCCTGGTTGGCTTTAAGTTTCTGGTCACTAATTTTATTCCTTAGTTAAGACAATTCGTAATTTTTTATGCTTACTGACAAGAGTCCCTTCACGTACACAATAATTTGACTATTTTCTGCAAGTCTATAACATTTTAGGATTAAAGAATGAGCAAATTTTCCATCATTGTAAGAATCTAAAAATAAAACTTTTTAAAACAAACTTAGAACTTTCAGTCACTGTACACGGGGGGAAAATGGCATGTTTACATTTTACATGAAACGAATGTAGAAGTATCCGAACTTCGCCGTTCGCCTTTCAGTCAATCATCAATGTCACTTGTGGATTTCGGGACAGGTCTCCTCTAGTAAAGAGCCCCAAGTTCTTGGTCACAACGTATGATTCTTAATATTGATATGGTCTTGTCTAATGTTGCAATCTCTTGACCTGAATGTGAAAGAAGCAGTTCCGTATGAGACTGTGACGTTTGATGCGCGGCGAGCTAAGATATCAAACCTAACGACTGCAAAACATCAAATTATGGTAAAATCAGGGGGGCACCTGAAACCCCCCCACCTTATTTTTATTAGGTCTTTGGGGCAAGCCCCCCTGAAATGGCAAGATAACGTTGTGGTCTGATACTGTATATAATGAACATAGCTTTTAAAAGTATTGTCTGTAGGCTCCTCCTGGAAGTTACTGACAAAAGAAAAAATTTCATTGGCAGTCAATCGTCCTTCTCCTTGGTGCCAAACGTGACACTTCACATCATCATTGGTTACCAAATTATAAAAAATATAGACAGTTAATTTGGTCCTGTTATGTTATAGTGCAGCAGATGCTTTCAACGCCGTACTAACAATCCGCTTCCAAGTCCATGCACGCTAGACATATAATCTGGTCCCATCCAATGGGTTTTGTGCAAGCTTCATGTTAGATTCTTTCTTCTACCTTGCAAACATCACATTGATCTTTCCGACACATACAACAACAGGTTGCTCTATTTGGATCCCTTTGAAAGATGTCTGAGATGACGTGTGACTCTTTCCGTTTTCTTTGGTAGGCCTACTCTCTATGAAGGCCTCTCGGGCTTTGAAAGTGTAAGTCAAGATACATTTTGCCTGTATTTTGTCTGTAGTAATGGGAAAACAATTTCGTTAAATTTGACCAATTTGTCGAAGAATTACTTATCACAAAATTGCTTGTCCTCTTCTGCTCTCTGGTAATATGGCAATGGCGGAGCTCCCATCTCCAAGTCATGTAAACTGTCTTTGCAACAGTCACAAATGACCACTGGGTGTGTAGTTGTATACAAACTTATTGTTTTGCCTGTAGGTAGAATGTAAGAGCTGTGTTTTAAATTGAAGTGTAGAGCTGGAGAGTTGAAGTTGAAGCTTTGTTGAAGAGAGAATTTTCGGAGCAAATGTTTATGAGTTGCTTTATTTTTTTATAACAATTTAAGTATCATCTCTATGGCACTGTTTAACTAATCAATGATTCAAGAATGGCACATGCTAGACACAGCAAGAGGCACACACTTAAAGTGAATTAGGAAACGCGAAAAGTCGCGATAAAAATATTTTCCAATAGAGTTGTACTGAATGTGAAATGAGCCCCCCTTAGCTGCCAATCATAAACTTTAAAAAATGTATTCGTCAGTAGCTTTTGCCACAATTTACCAACGTGGCACACACTTCAGTATTAACATATTAATTGATGCCATCTTGCCCTTTCCCATTTACACTACCAAACTTAGTTTTTGATTTTATGCAAACTGCCTTAACAAAATCATCTGGCTATCGATAGGGTTCGATCTGAGTCGAAGTTTGATGTGACCCTCCAGTCTGTTATGACAAACGCCACAGTCGTGTGGGTAACGCCGCCTACGCTACAGGTGAACACCTCAACATTCAACCGCCCATTCGCCACCGGGCTGCAAAAGTTGCACTTGGGTGGTTGAATCACGTGGAAATTGGGAACTGGTGTGACATAGGCAATCGATTTATTGAAGGATCGAAACGCTTTGCAGTAATCTTTCAAACTCGGGATTTTAACATTAGGTATATCAAAGGTTGTACTGTGTTAAGGGATCAAAAAGTGATTTTCGAAAATTTTGTCACTTAGGACTTAGGCGGTTGAATCACACAGCTGGTGATATATAGAATCTATACCATTCAAAGGCTCCACTAATGGTGACCTAATTATGTCTTGTTGACCTCGCTCAAGCTCAAGAGTCACAGAGGCGAGACTAAAAGGATATATACCCATAGCAAGAAATGAACCAATCACTCTTAACTGTGAGCAGTTGCTTGATTGCTCCAGAATACACACAGCATGTGCGTGGAATTGTGTGTGTAGGCTATTGCGAACAGTCCGAGATCGCATTATTTATAGACTGCCTACTGTGGGAGATGTTCAGCTGATTCACATTTGAGATTTGAGATCTTTTTTAATATTAGACGTAGAGCCCAGTTTCCTACAGAATAGGCATGTTGGCTATACTATAAAAATGGTCCAGCCGTTGACAAAATTCTGAAACAAATGGATATAAGAAAGGAAAAAAAAAAAAAGCAAATAAGTGAAGCAGCTTCCATGGCACTTTTATTCAAATTTTCCAATCAGGGACTCAAGTGTCTTAGCGTGAACTCAATCTGGCCCCACATTGTAACATTGTCTCCTGGTTTGGTGGCGAGACCTGTAACAGGAACATTGAATGTAAAGTAGGTGCTGGGTGCTTTTTGATGTGCACTACATGTATAAATAATCACAATTATTATTTTCACTAGGCGGCATCCTGTGCCTTTCAAATGATGTCTTGTCAACCTCGTTGAGACTAAGACACTAGGAAAAGAAAGATAAGGATGAGGAGCAAATAATGGCAGTGGAAAAGAAAGGAGAAACATAACTAATAAATTGATAGTGGATATTCTATGTTATTAAGAATGATCCTATTTTTACTTAAACATTTGTTACAGTGTATGTTAACATGATCCCTGTCGATAACAGGGTAGGCTACGGCTATAACAGGGACATCATGTTTGTCCCAGCAGTCAATAATGACCATTTAGGTGCCAGTGAGGTCTTGAATGGTGTGAGATGCCTGACCCTAAATTTGGAACAAACACTGAAGATTAATGGTGTGTATTATTGTCTTTATTGGGACAATCCCTGTAATTCCATCTCTTTCAAAATAATCAACAAGTTGTTTTTTATCATCGTTCTATTAATGGGAGGTTATCTGGAGGAACTTTTTTTTTTTTACAACTTTTTAAAAAACATTCTGCCCCCCCCCCCCCCCCCCCCAATGTTATCCTGCTTGAGCTTTCGCAAGCAACAAACTATGTGGTTCTCTATTTAATTGCTTGGTTATTAACCGTTCTGTGAGGGCTGTGAGTGTGCGTAAGGTATTTGAGATAACCAAAATGTTGATTTCTTGGATACTTGCTGTCCTAAATGAATCTTATTGCCCCTCCTCCACTGCAGTGCTGTGCAATAATCGAGGTTTTCATAGTCGATTACAATCGATTTTCAGATTCAGAGTCGACGATCGATTAATAAAAAAAATGGAGTTGTGAAAGGGTGGGAGGGACAGGGACGCAAGCCATGAAGATGCAGCTAGGCCCACAGAGTGTGTAGGCTCAGGGATGCAGGGATCGGAATCGCTGGGGGGGTTGTTTTTTGCTTTTTTGTTTGCTGTTGTTGTTTTGTTGTTGTTTTGGGGTTTTTTTTTTATCTTCAATTTATTTATTCATGCTAGATCTAGATCTAATAAAGTTTTGGTGAAACCTCATGTTATTTTAAGGTGAAACTAAGGTCGTCATAAAATTATATTATTTCAAATTTCAAATCATAAACATTACAAATAATTGAAGATCGATGTATAAATATAGACTCTAGATCTAGATCTAGTAAAGTTTTGGTAAAATCTCATATTATTTTAAGATGAAACTGAGGTCGTACAGTGAAAAAAAAATGCCACCATGATCGACATCGAACATGGCTCGAAAATCGATTTCGATCATGAGCATCGCGATAATCGACGATCGATTATCATAGTCGATTATGCACAGCACTACTCCACTGTGGCTGATTCTGTGTTAAGTTGTTTGACTGTTTGTAATGTTTTAAAACATTTTTTTTTCCAGGACAAATCACAGTCATTCGTTCCTGCATGAGAAAGGATTTCTGAAATGGAGAGGAATTTCGATGCTGCCAGGCAGTCACCACGTGGGCTTTTCAGCATGTTGTCAAACTAGTGATGCCTGATAATTATCCGAGGATGCATAATTTCTCGTAAAAATTGGTTCTTTTGTTCATACAATTGTCTAAAAAGTATACAAACATACTTTAGTACATGTAAGTTAATCACCAAGTTCTCGGCTTGTTCCGATTATCCATTGAAAATCATCCTACTCCTACCATGGTTTTTTGTCGGTTAAGAACTCCATTCAGCAAATTGTTGAATAAACACTATGCATTGGAAGTGAAGTTGAAGGGTATAGGAATGTGCACTGCAAATTCAGCAAAAAGTGAAAGCAAAAGTAATGAATATCAGACAAGTGAAAACAAAGAACTGGACTTAAAAGTTTCAGATACCCAAAAGTCCGGGAAATGTGTTTCTGAACAAAGTCCATCTGAAGATGACAACATTGCTCCAGTTCTGGATGTTTTAACCAATGGCAAGAACAGTGTGGTTGAACCTTCTGCTTTAAAAACAGTGTCTGTAGTTCCAGGCAAGGGTCCTCCTCCTGAGCCTCCAGTGACCTGCTGTATGAGTGGCTGTGCCAATTGTGTGTGGATAGCCTACGCAGAGGAGCTAAAAAATTACTACAGCGATGGAGGTGAAAAGGCTAAAGAAGCCCTTGAACAAATTGAGGATCCGTCTCTGAAGGCTTTTATCAAGCTGGAACTGGGTCTTCGATGACTGTGAAATCTCTAAGTACCTTTTATCTTTTTATAGTAATCACAAAAGGAGACTATGAGAAAAAAAAATAGATCTGCAGCATAGCAGAAGGAAAAGGCAACACTGTGCAGTTGTGCATGAAAGAAAGAGATTGTAAACAGAGAGAAAAGGGGGAGAGAGAAAGGGAGACCGAAAGCAGATCACAAGAAATTGGGGGAGAATTGGCCCAAAAATTTCACCAAGGTTTTGTTAATTTGAATGATTATGTCTGATCAGATTTGAAATTTCTCCGGTGTTGAAAGATATACTGGTTCCTCAAACTATTCATAGTAGTTCAGCATAGTTTATTATGTTAGTACTAGTATATAACTAAGCAAACGTATGTCTGTAAAGTCCTGAATCACAATAGTATCTTTCTCCTAAACTTTTTGTTTAGTTTGCAGGAGTAGATGAGAGACTCACTTGCATGATGTCAATACAACTTAACCTGCTGTCAAATTTACCAAAGGGCTAGTGCTTGATTGAAGGGAGCCGCTGTTTTGACGTTTTACTATCGATACGTAGACCAATATATTTTATATTGAAAAGGGTAGGGATTGATGGTGTTACAGTTACAACCTGTGAAGAAATCCCATGTGCCTGCTGCCAGAGTGGTTACTTTGAGAAATTATTTTTAAGCAACAATTTAGGCAAGTGATTGTCTTTTATAAAATGATAAAATGTGAGACAAAAAGCAAGTACACTTTATTCCAGGGGCAAACTTGTTTTCCTGTGTGTTTCTCCCGTGATGCAGGACTTTTTGGACACTTGAATTAAGTTAAATTGTATCTGCACCCAACAGAGATTTTGCTTTCATTTATTTCATTAGCTTCTTCTGCTCATATACATTGTACATTGCCCTAGTTGCTGCTTTTTAGAATTTGTACATGAATGACCATGCTTATATTATATTCTAGGCACATTGTTGGAGGGCTCCACTGGCAGGTTCTGTTTCTTTTCTTTCCCCTCAGTTGTTTCATATTTTTTCTCAACCCTAAATTACCATTGTTGTGTCAATGTGCTTCTCTTTCCTAAAATTATCATTCTTCAATCATCACAGTTGTTGCAATTGCTTAGCCATGTCCTTTCTGTATGAACCTTATGAGCACATTTTAAAAATGTGACACTTCTCAGTTTGCAAACATGTAAATAATTTACACAACTGTTAACAGAAGCATCAAAAAATTTATTTTAGCCTGTCTACTGTCTCCTAATTATTCCAGTTGTTCAGTTTTTTTGGACAAGCTCCAATGAGTTATGTTTTTGTGATATGCTGGAATTTTATTGTTAGTAGAAGCACAAGGTGTACACAGTGAAAAACACACACAAACAAACACACATTCACCCACAATTCATCACTAGTTCACACATAAGAGTTTACAGAAAATGCATACCCGGAAAACTGTTCATGTTATTCTTTTGTTCAGATTTTATTTATATCATAGCAATTCAACACAACGCCTTACAGCGATAAAACATGCACAGCTGGGGAAACTCATTTTCAGTGGAATTTACACATGTGATCTTAATTAAAAAGATCAAGCAAACACTTGGAAAGTTCTCAGCATTTTCCAGATTATTAACGCTTGCTCCAGGCACTCGAAATATTTCACCATGAGGAGCTGTATCAGCAACTGTACATAAGTGAGGATGCTTTTGTCATCAAGTTTGTGCGCTGTGAGGCAACACCCAGAGTAGTCACCTTCTAGCCCCATCCTTTTTGACTTTTCAGCAATCAAATAAAACATTAATATCTTTGAAAGAGAAAGCAACACTAAAACATTACCCACTCATCCCTCCTCAACACAAAAAAAGTGCTCCTACAACTTTCATCATGACCATGGTTGCTGATTCGAGTAAGACATACTTCAAGTAATACCTGTTGCTGAGATCTTGTGCTGATTGCAATCAAAATTTGTACTTTTCTACGCTTCAGGGCATATGTAACTGTTCGTAGAACTAACTTATGTTCTTTAAAACATCTTTGAAATTTTATGCAAGATGCTATCAATTCGATTCTGAATTGTTCTGGAGAAGGAAAACATTTTTTCCTGTAAAGTATGAACTTGTGTTACCGTATTTAATCTGTTCATGTGCAATACGAAATAAAAGTATTGATCTGTCACTTCTGATTGCCTAACTGTTATTGTTATATGAAAATTGTATTGACTGTGGTCGTCTGTTTTTTTTTATAGCTTTATATTTTGTGGACTTATTTTTATTTTTTACTCATTGATACTGTCTGCCTTATTTTTCATCTAAACAAAGTGTAGTGTTCAAAATAAGGGATTAAGCTATAGTGTAGAACCAGGGTTTGTACTTCCTCCAGAAAAATTCAAAGCTGAAATCTTGATTTTTCAAGGGTTTCTCTTCACTGAATGCAATTTTATGCACTCTGCACAAATGACAAAACCTCAGTTTTTACCGTGGGTTCAAAATACTTTTGAACTTGGCATACATTTCTGTACATTATAGTGTGACAGTTCCTTACAGCATGAAGAAAAGTTTCCCTGATTTCTCAGTCAAAATTCTCCATATTTTATATATAGGACTAATAAAACATTTGAACAGATGTATATAATATGTTTATCATCTATAATATTACTTATCTTTATAAATTGTAGACTTCATGCGACCTTGCCAATACTAAATCTGCAAACATTTTTTTCAATAATAAACATCTCACTGTGGTTTTTCAGAGTGATACGGACTCATTTCAATCAAACTGATGTGGAGGAAAGCAAACAATTTTATTCACTGGTGGGGACTGGACTTTTGATCACAACACTTGGTTCCTCTGGCTTCAGCTGGTCTATCTGTTGCTCTGAGGCATTCGGAGTGGGCTGGTCTCCATCCGGCATCTGTTTCTCCCAGAACTCTGAGACCCTATGTTGTATGCCCCTGTTCTCCTCTCGCCACTCTCTCTGCCAGCATCTCAGCTCCTGCACCTCTGGGTCTCTCCGGACCTGTGCGGAGGAAAATGCAATATTTCAAGATCAGTATCATTATCATTCTTCGGCTGGATGTCAGGACACTTTACTGTCTCTCTGAAGGTACCCCTGGAGGCTAATCAGACTTCATCAAGCAAAATGATTACCCATTCATATGGTACATGCTAGAGGGTGGTAAATAATTAGTGAGTTCATAGCACAAATCATACTAGTAGTAGTACTAGCAACAATGCAGGGAAATATGATCAGAGCAAATAACTTGTGTTTGGTACTATGCGTTTGTAGTGCATTATAAAATAAAGAAGCGTTTGACTAGACTTGAGCTAAAAACTTCATAAGTCTCACGTTAAAAGGAAAGTCTTCATAAAAGAGTACCTCATGGGCATTGGGTACATTTGACTTCAGAAAAAAATTAAGTGGAACAGAACTTTCATATGGTTTTGATTCTTAAAACAACTTTCATCATACCTTGATTATGTAAGAAGATACAAAATATAACCCCCAACAAAAACTGAGAAAGTGAACGGACTTGAATGAATGCTTTATTTGTTTATTTCATAGGAAGTATAGGTGTTCAATGTTGGCAGTGTTTGTAATAGGTCTGTATTTCCAAAACGTAAAAGCCTCTACTTTTGAGGCAGAGATTTATACTTTTGATGCTTTTTCTTCAAGTTTTAGAAGATCCAATGAATGTTTTCAAAATGTCTCATAAGCCCAGAATCTTTGATAGCGTCATTTCAGTCTGGACTATCACAAGTGTAGAAGCCAACAGTTTTTTTGTGTGTGCTCATCTTACCAAGTAACCTCTCCAGAATGACTGAATGATCAAGGCAGCTTCTTCATCTGTCCAAATCAGAGACATTGGTAGAGGTGGGCGAGGGCTGTAAAAAGAAATAGAACTCTTTGACTTTGAAGTTCAGCATAATTTTCAAGGAATTGTCCATTCACTACTACTACAGTTGGTCACTTTTAAATTTTAAGGACAAGCGGGCTAACCCAGATTTCGGGGGTTCCAGAAATAAATCTTGACCTACACCAAAAGTAAGCATTGCCCTACCTATAGGAGAAGTTTGGTTTCATTGGTATGTATATATTTGTTTGGTTATAGAGAAAACTCTCCTTGTCTTTTAAAGAAACTGTACAAGGGGCAAAAACTTTACCTTTGATTTTCTCAAAACAACGTTTTACGGGATAGCCCCCTTGTGCTTAAAAGTGACCAGTTTTTAAATTTGTATAATAGTCCATATTCTTTATTCCTTTACTTCACATTTGGTTAACCACTCCATGACAGCTCTCATACACTGTAAGTTGAACATAGTGAGCCATGAAACTGTCGTCCCAGGCAATGTGGGTCCTGAAATGCACCATATGGGGTTTTAAAACTGTTTTAATTAGCTTTGAACGGAAGTTTACCAGAAATCTAAAGAATATTTGAAATCTGCCATAACAATTAAAAATGTACGAATTAAGTAAATCTTTCATTTTGAAAAGGACTGCAAAATGTCTGAAATGACTCACCATCTTGGTTAGCAAAACCTGGATGCACCAAAGATGAAAAAAAACTTCTGTCACAAAGGGGTTAATAGAACAGAGGGTATGCCTGTGAATTTCAGCTTTTTTATTTTCGTCCTTAGTTGTAGCCTGTTCAGAGAACTGGGCGACAAAACTTGCTCTGAGTAAGTATCAAAAAGAAAGAGCCCATCCACACTAGGGCCTAAAAGCATGTAGGTTTCACTTTTGAGCAGAGCTAAGCAGGCTCTTCTGTTTTCATTACCATATATTTTGTTTCAAATATTTTTGTACGATGTGAGCCCTGTACTAGCACACTCACATCACTTGCAAACAAGGATAAAACAAAAGTATCAAGGAAAGACAAAGAAAGAAAGCAACCCTTACTGATCTTTCAGCCACTCTTTCACAAAAGGAATGTCCCACAGCTCAATGTCTGCTCTCCCATCACTTTTTGAGTTGGGATTATGTCTGGGGACAAGAGTCACATATTTTTTCACCCTCACTAGCTCACACAGGTTTACATTTTTTTACACATGGTGTCACAAACTCAATAAACACCCCCAAAAAATTGAATAAAATTAAAAACTGCTCTAAAGGTAGAAACATAAAGGAACCATCTGGACAGACAGTTACACAGTTTATTACATAATAAAGGAGTAGCCTACACATTAAAACTGTTATCTTTACAAAAGATACTCCACATGACCCCCCATCACCGCACTGCATTTCCGCGTTCTGACTAAAAATGTGCCATGTCCTGACACTGCTGCAGCATGGCAGCTCTTACAAGGTCCTTGTCTCGACTTCTGAATTCTTATTAACATCATCCAGCCTTTCTGTTTCCCTGTGCACACAATTCTCAGAATTAACTTTCCTAGTCCTGTAGAAATCAGGCTCATCGCCAAAGTAAACAGAGAGTTTAACATTTTCTCACTCTGTCTCACTTGTCTTCAAAACCCAAGCACACTGTTTTTCTCCTAAAAAATTGTCTGGGGTTACTCCTTGCTAGACAAAAATGAGATATATAGCTTTATTTTTAAATCATGCTTACTTACGAATTCTGTAAGTTGGGGACTTTGACAAGCCTAGTTCACTGCTACGTCCTCGAATGGACTTCTTTGGGGTCACAACCAAAGCGCAAGCTGATTCCACATTTCGCAGTTTCGTAAGCTTTCTCCCTTCTTTAATGGCCTTCTGACAGACATCTTCTTACCTTGATCTGTTCATACCACTCCCAAATTGCTCTTTCAGAATGTGCACAAGATCTAAAGTGAACTTTTACTCCTCGCAATAAGAGGCTTGAAGCTTCTTTTCAGATTTGAATTCATAATATTTTCTAAAGCAAAATGCCTTTTCTGGGTTACTCCCAAGACATGGCTGATGCAGCAGTGCTCGTCTGACCAGTTCAAATTTGAACATAGATTGTGGCTTTCAGATAATCAATTTCTCTCAAATTTGGTACAGATCCATGCCAAATTGGAAAAATTAGTGATTATTTTCTCATGGTCATCGATTCTGGGACAGCAAGTAATTTTTTTTAAAGTGGGTGTTTTCACCCCTACACAAAAAACGCAAAAAAAACAAAAACCCCCCCCCACACTCCACCCCATTGATACAATTTAGATCATTTACGAGGCGGGATTCTAACTCTTCCAGTCACTGTCAGGGCCAACTCAGACTGAAAGGATTACAACATCCCAGTAGAAAGACTGAGATCGATACTCGATAAAAATTTCTCCCCAGTGAGGAATAGAACTTGAATCTCCTGTGTATGACAGCGAAGTGCCTAACCGTTACACACAACAGACACCAGTTTAAAGACTTCATTTAGGCTTATTCATATAGTTCACTGTTAATACAAACTATAAGAAGGCATACTATATACATAGATCAGATTCAAATCATTACAGAGGGGAATGAACCTAGACAGTTAAGGAACTATTAAATGTTCTGCATAACCCTTTAGTCACAAAGTTTGAAAATGTTTTTCTTCCTAAAAATGTTATTATCTTTGACATATAATAATAGAACAAAGAAACCTTGTTGGTATGTGAATGTAGAATGCAGTCAGAAAGAACCTGATCTGTACATAATAAAAAATGATTATGTTGATGAACTATTTAAAACAGATGCTAGTAGCCTGAGGACACCTCTAGGAACATAAGTGCATTTGTGTACCCGTTGTATGATAATTTAAATGAAGCGATATTACACATCCTTTGCTATTAACAGTGTTAGAAAATAAGCAATGAACTGATTATTTACAATACTTAAATTCAAAACACAAGTTCCTCACCTGTACAAATGTTCAGTGATGAAGTCACAAGCATTGAACTTTGTTCTACGCCTCTGCAAAACAGTGGAAGGGGGTAATGGGAGTAAGAAGAAAAAAAGCGAAACTATATATAATAAGATTCAACACTGATATATTTCAAATTTGTCAAGGAGTTTAATTCTAATATTTTACTTCAATATTTAGTGGGATCTTTTTGTTACATCTTTAAAAAAAAATAAATAGAAACCAACACACAAAAATGCAAATAGGGATCAGTAAAAGAATTTTGAGAGGGAGGGGACCGGTGCGAAATATCCGTTACACCAGTATTCTCGTTATAAGGAATCCAGTAATAAATTCATTGGAAATAATAAAGTAGGCCTAATCTATGAGTTTGGTGTTCTGTTTATTCCTTTTTGTTATTTCCCCTGATGATGACATTGTTCAACATGACCTCTTGGTCTTACTTGATCAAAAATCGAATAGGGTTTCTTTCTCTAGCGCTAGCGATGTTGACAGCACGGCGTTGGCGATCAGACAGAATGTGCCCTGGGCTAACTCGCCCGCTGTGTTGTCCCCACCCCACCACACCCTGTGGTGTGTTTCATCTGCTTGCGCACATTACACATTCACTCCATCCATCACAGCATGGTGACCTCTCCATCCCCTCATCAGAGAAGTGAGGGCATGGGTAGTGGTAGGCCTAGATAATCTTGACGATGCATTCTGCTCGTCTGCGCATACCACACCCTCCCCACTCATTCGCTCATCCTTCATTGTTGGCAAACATGGACTTTCCCATTCTTTGTTTCGCTCAAGGAGTTGATGTAAGGTCCTAGGTTTCGCTAGATCACCAACAAGTTTCTCAACTGGCGAGGTTATCATGTATAACTGGCCTGTGCGCTGTGCACAGCAACAGCAATATTCCGCTATAACCGATAACAGACTTCTCGTTGTTTCAGGACTCGTTATAAGTGGACTCCACTGTATGATTCATAAGCTAGCCACCCCAACTTAATTCAAGAAGTTAAAATGTGTGAGCTGTATCAAAAGGTCTTGTTCTCATAATATCAAAATTTTTAGTTCAGTCTTTCCAGAAATAGGACCCACTAATCAATTCTAAACTTTGGAGTTTAACAGCTAATCCCCACCAAAAATGATATGTTGCATAACTCAATGACTGGCAACTCAGATAGTTTAAACAGATTGACAAATTTTGCATTCTCCACTTAAGAAAAAAAAATCCATTTAATAATTATACGCCCCTTTCAACAAAATGTCAAAGAGGTTGTATTTAGTTCTAGAGTTTGTGGCAGTGATGAACCCCACGTAAACGAATGGGGGCTGCACTGCCTGTGCCTTCTCTGAGATGCTGAACCTCAAGGGCAAGACATACGCAGTTCAACAGACGGGTGAGTATTTTTCGGGACTGAAATAGAGACGTCTCCGCAGTCCTGGGAGGAAATCTACAAGCTTTCACTGAAATATGAGGGCAGGATGGTGTTTAATATATGAGAGCTTGTGGGTAGCGGGGTGGGAGCTCAGATTGTTCATGTAAATAGTAAATGGGGGCGCTATGCCAATAAGGGTAAGAAGGCCCCCATGTCTGACACGTGTGACGTCATTGCTGTGAGCTTTAGTATTATGTGTAACTTCTTTGACAAAATGTAAATGTAGATTGTTCAAAGGGCAGGTTCACTTTGTTCATGAAAATAAAAAGAACTTTAGAAACTACTCTTCAGAAATTTCCCTGCCTTAATTTTTATTGGGGTTTGTCAGCAAGGATGTCTCATTACTCATTGCCTACTGTGTGAAAGATTTGTTATAATATCTTAAAGGGTCTACTTTTCATAATAATGGGCTGTTTCTTATCAACGGTCCTAAAAATAAATAATGCCCAAATTCAAAACATGAAACCAAGTTAAAAGCACAAAAACATTTCACAAAGATTCAATAATGAAGAAAGAAATGGTATTATTTTACTTTCACTACCCTCTCATGCTCCGGTATTGTAGAGTCCTTTTAAGATTCTTGTTCATCTTCATCTGTTTTACATGAATTAACTTTATATTCCTCGCAAATTAAGAGTTTAAAAAAAATATTTGATGGTAATTATTCAACCTATATCACACTAAGCTTAATTGCATAGTAATTTCCGCCCTTTGGACCAGTCAGGGAGGGGTTCATGGGGGCATGCCTCCATGATATTTTTTTTTTAATCTGGAGGAGTTACAGGTTTGAAATTATTTTTCTTGAAAATAATTCATTTACGACAATTTTAGTGGCCTTATATATGTGATCAGCAGCAAAAAAAACTGCAGTTTGATCCCCAAAGCAGTACATCTGTGAGCAGGAGTGAAAGCAAAAATTTACCAAACCCAAAGTGAAGAAGATGAAGAGAAAAATTAAAGATCAAAACCCATCATGCAAAATATGTACTTTATCTTCATCAGTCAGAGGTTCTTCCTGATGGAGAAAAAGGAAAAATATATTAGCTATCTGTCTAAGGCACACAGATTCAGAATAAAAACATTTTTAAAAATTTGTTTATACTGCATATAGTAGTGATTTTTAATTATTACTAGTCATTTTACAGTCGAACCAGCATTAGCAACCACTTGTCCTTGTACAAACGATGATGTCACCCCTTGCATTTTTAAAATATGTAATATTATAAAGACACTGTCCAAGATGACCACCTGCCTAAGATAAGCACTTTTCTCCTCGACAGTGGCCAGTTATCTTAGACAGGTCACACTATATTAATAGAGAGGGGGAGTTGTTATCGATCCAGATAGAGAGGGGGAGAGTGAAAGAGAGAAGAAAGTGAAAGCGAGTCCAGCCAAAAGATTTTACTATCATAAAATTATAATATTCAATACCTCAAAGCATTTTTCAAGCTTTGCTTGTTTCAGCATTGCCTCTAGAGCAGGAAGGAGCCATGGAAAGACATAGTGATTCAAGTATTCTGTAGGAGTACCTGCAATACACAACAGTGGGCCTACTGTGATTGATCAACACAAAGAACAGCAATTTAATCATAATCATTTTCCAAAGTTTGGTTTAAACATGATAACCATGTATCTCCTTATTTAATAAAGGATTTCAAGGATGTGTTATTATACAACGATTTAGCACAGCAAACAGCATAAAAATATTAGATTCAATTCCCCACAACCGTTCTTTGATAGTTTTGTGTTTTTATTATGTAATTTAAATGTTCTTTAACCCTCATCCTGCGGGAGCCGGGTTTATGTCGCCTGATAAGCCTATTTCGGCACCTCGCCTATGTTCTGGTCCCGAATCAGTGTAGCCCCTGGCTCAGCGCACGCGCAGCGCGCATCCTCTTACGTATCATTCGGGTCCCAAGTCGGATCCCCATTCACGCAGGTCAAGTGTGTGTGCGTCAGTCTGCTTGAGTTTGTGTGCGTTTGTGGCCTTCTTCTAGAACCGCCTGCGTTGGTTCGTAATCGAGGCATACGTCTCATTCAAAACATGCCAAGTTGGTAGCTCTAGATGTTCGTCCAATGAAATTATAGAAGAAATTGACCCACTTAGACATGAGGAGCTCGAAAGGATAGTCAGGAAACAAGACTTCCATTTTTCTATACAAAATATTTCAAATGAGCTTGATTTTGAATGAAATGATACTACCTGATAAGAAATAAGCTTGTTTGATAGTTCTGAATACCATTGTGCAGGTACAAAGAACAATTTGAGTGTAAAACATTCGGACATTGACCTAAATTATCCCCTTATGAACCTCAGGTCATTCATAACAACAAGAGCGTCCAGAAATGTTATTCGAATGGGCGTAACTACTCGTAATGTCTTATGAGCTTGTGAGAGGGGGTTATTCATGTGTTTGTAACACTTTATAAATAGAAAGCTATGAAAGATAGAGCGATATTTTTATCATCGGTTAACACACTCCCGCGGTATTCATGGCGAAAACACACGCTTCCCGGCGCGCGCGCGCTGTACACCAACAGTACACACTGAGTGACCCCGGCGGCCTGCCGGGCACGTCCGACTTAATCGGTTGCTGATAAGATACGCATCTGGGCACAGACGCAGGATAAGAGTTAATTCAATGGATATTTTATTCCACATATAATGAAACAGGCTAGCCAAACAAGCATTTTCTGAGGAAGATGGTGCATTCCTTCAGATGCTTTCATAGTGCCTTTGATTAGGTAAACACTAAGTAATATTTTTGGCCATAAATATCATATTATTAGATTTTTCTTAAAATATAAATATGCGAAACAGTGACTTCCTTTTCTCTTATTTCATTTTTTTTTAAATACCATACACTGAAAAACTGTGATCACTGTCAATTACGAAGAGAAGTCCATACATAGTTGGGAAAGAACTTACAAGTATTCTTGTTTGGGGGCAATGGAGGTGGTGGGCTAGCTGCTTTTGGCGGCTTCTCAGTAAAAGTGAAACCAACACAAGATGGGTGGCTATCAGCTGCATCAAATTCTCCTGTTGCATCTTCATCAGTTCGCACTGGTGCAAACATTTTCCCGTAAAAAACGGGATTGTGTCGAGATGGATCATAGTCACTGTAGTCTGTTGTCACAGATGCTGCATCATCATCAGGAGTGAAAGGAGGCTTCTGATGTGTAAACTCTGGAAGAGAAAGAAAAATTAACAAGTACGCTTTTCGTTTGTGCGTGTGTGCATATGTCTGCAGTGAAGCGAAGAAAAATGAATTGGTATGGTCATGTAACAAGATCGTGTGGCCTTTCTAAGGCCATTCTTCAATGAACTGTGCAGGGGAGGAGAAAGAGAGGAAGGCAAAGAAAGAGGTGGATAGACAACATTGCGGAATGGACAGGGAAATCCTTTACACAAAGGCGCTCGCAAAAAAACGTGAAAAGTGGAGGCACCAGATGAGACTCACCATCATACAGCGCCCCTATGATCTTCATGGATTATGAGATCAGTAAGCAGTTGCAGTAAGTGTGTGTGTGTGTGTGTATGTGTGTGTGTGCATGCCTGTGTGTCTGTGTGTGTGTGTGAGCGTTTGTGTGAGTGTGTGCATTTGTGTGTGAGTGTGTGTGTGGGTGTGTTTTCCTTTCTTAACAGTAATTATTGATAGTCTCTAATATTTCTATTCACTATTCATGTAAATCTCTAATTAACCAATGGGTAGATTTGAATACAAAATACACTCTGATGATGAATTAAACAGAGGTATGATGCCCAACTGCCTGTCCAATGAAGCTCACAGATGCCTCCCACAGCTGTTCGGACTTGAGTCCGAATAGCCCCCAGCGGTTATTTGGACAAGAGTCTGAATTTGAGTCCGAACAGCCTTCCGTGGCTATTTGGACTCAAACTCCAATGCGCGTGCGCAATCACTAGGAGTACCGGATGTGAAGCAGACAAGCAATTACGTTGCCATCATGCACAAATACCTTGTAAGCGACAAATTTTTCAAAATTTACTTTTCTGGCTTATAAGACTCTATATAACACACAGTATGTCCTAGTCAAACGATATTTGACACAGGTGAAAAATAAGGACATTAAAACACAAATGAAAAAACCTTCTTTGTCCAACTTGGTGAAAGCCGTCTGGCATAAAACCAGTAAACGCCAGCATGGCGCTTTGGGGTTTTGTCCCCTGCGGCCCTGCCTGTTCAGGAGTCCTTTATCTTGTGTTAGTTTGCATAGTGAATCAGAATCAAAGGTAATAGTTTCGTTGGGAAGCTTACAACGTTGCTCTTGGTGAAGGGACGGATTAGGTACGTATATGGTTGTTCACACTTAAAGCACGGTGTTCACTATTCAAACTGAACAGGGCCTTTTCCCCTAACATCAGAGTAAACATAATACATTACAAGGAGCAGGAACATTTGAAAGCATCAAAACTAAAATACCATGCCCCATAAAACTTTAGAAGGTCTAAATCTGTGTATGGACATGGAAAACACCTTTCTGTCTATGTACACGAATCACAGGTTAACATCTAAACATGTTAGATTCCCAAAATTGTTCTTCCGGGCAAACACCAAAATAACAAGTTTTGTCGACGCCTAAAGGCTTTTAACGTGATGCTATATAAGACATGTCTGTATAACTATCAACAATGCTGAGGGCCAAATTGAAATTTGTGTCTTTAAAAGTTATCCGTATACAGGAAAACTCAAGTGGTCTCTCGAAACATTATTGTCAAGCGAAAGGAGCATTAGTTTTATTCTTCGCTAAAAATGCACGAGACACCAGAATTATATATTTCTGTGCCATGATTTGACAAGTCGGGTTTTCCATTGGTTACTTTTTGACGCCCCGAACAAAATCGTTAGTGGCCACATTTCCTCCAACTCAACCAACTTCAACTATTACTGGAGAGCTCCAGGCGCTGGCTTCTTGTCCTACGCTTTCGGTTCCAACAAGTTCTCTCGATGCTACGTTGCAGAGTGACATCCCTGTAGTTTCTTTTGTTCATGCTGAAGTCACAACTGACGTTACTCCGGCTCCAGCTGTTGACACTATATTCCCTTTGCATCACCTGGTGACACAGCCAACATCCCCTCAGCATCATTTAGTGACACTGCCCTTCTTGTGTCAGACGTTGGCATTAGGGTCTCAGCTAACGACCCATCAGTATTAGTTGTTGGCACGGTCATCTCTGTAGCAGGCATAGGGGTACCGACAACAGTCTCCTAACTACACACGCCAAATTCAGAAGTTGTTCCTGCCGATGAAAAATATCTATCCTGACCTCAAAACCAGGGTAATAAGGTGTTAAAAACTGGCAGAGAAGCAAATATTTCTCAGGGAGTCGGGGCAAAGTTATGTCTATGCCAAGGGCCCCCAATGACCCACACGCCAACTTCTGGAACCTTGCAATCGTAGCTGCAAATAGGAGACTTAAAAAAGCGTACGTCAACAGTCTAGTTGACAGGGTTGATGTGATGAGGAAGTTGACAACTTCAGAAGCATCCAAAGGGTCTCTCTTCCTTGCTCCTGTCTGTACCTTAAAAAGGAAGGTGGAGTAAGAGTTGAGTTTGCATGAAAATGTTCACCATTACCCTAGCTTTAGGCGACTAGACGATTCGAAATGCCACTGATTCTTTAGGGTCAGATTCAGATTTTGAAGTGATGAGAAAGTGTTCCTGTAGATGAATTCTTTGGAATATTACCAAAATTCCGTCTTACTATTGTCGAAAAACCTCGGCAAAGTGTTACCAGGGTCCCCATTTTCGTTCTCTGGTGGAGTACCGGTGCTTGAAAAGGTGTGAGAAACAGGGCCGCAAGGGTCTGGAACTAACAGCATTCAAAAAGTAGTTTTAAAACAACAATTTGACGTTGCATCATCCCAGAAAGGGCCTGTGTGATTTATGTGAGTGCCACGGGGTCAGAAACAAGGACAAAAAGATAATGAAACAGCACATGAGGCAGAACGAAAGAGCTTTTTTTTTAGAAAGAGAAGGACAACAAACTGTCTCTTGAAGGTTTAGCTGACGGAGTCAGGACTGTTGCCATCTGTATGAACTTGGAATCTGTGCTTTTTGTTCCTTCACTTCATGCATCTGCCATCTACTGCCAGACAGTGGAACATAAGAACATCGTCAAAGGACACACTCACATGGACGTTGATTCCTACCAAACCTAGATAAAACGAGCATCAAAAGGTGTTCCTAACCCTATCTTCCTGCCAGCGAATTACATTAGCATTATGGGCAAAGCCAGGCGCAATCCCAAACTCAATAAAAGGTCAATACCTTGATCACACATTTTTCAAGAATTATTCCAACCGAGGATCAATCAAAAGTAGAAGAGGTGACCCGCATGTTGTGGACATTTGTTCTCTTAGGTATACGCCTGATCGGAACAGATCCTTCTAAGTTGACATTTGATGGGGTGTTTCAGGATCATCCTCGAGAAAGGGAGTATGCAGGCAGCAGTAGCTACTGAAAAACCTGGAACTCATAAAACAGTAGAGCTGGATCCTGCTCGTCAAATCTGAGAGTGGCGATTCACGGTTCAGTCGGCTTCAATGATTTGCAAGTACGCGAGCCCTCGCGGAACTCCGGCAGAACACTGACTGAAACGGAACAGTGTCATATCAACGCCACTAGGCGAGCGCGAGTCCCACTCTTGTTGTCCTGCCATCCTCTGCCATCCTCTCCGCCCTCCGCCCCACACCCTTCGTTGCGCTGCTCTATCTACTGACCTCAATTAGCGACCCCCATAAATTCACCCCCCTCCCCCACCCAACAAAAGTCAATCATGCATCACATCACAGAACTAATGGAGAGTCACCATCTACCACAAAACAGAAAAAAAAACCAAAGAGTCAACCAAAACATCCCTCCCCACCTTTCTTTAAAAAAGCCAATCATTACAACATATCTCAAAGACAAGAGCACAAAATCGTCAGACCCAGTGACGCTGATGCTTGCATCACATCAAACAATCGACAGCTATTCAGATGACTGGATACACGTCTATACGGACGGCTCAGCATTCAAAGGCACAACCAAAGCCGGATATGGAATACTAATACAGTACCCAGATGGAAGTTCCAATGAGATCTCTGCAGCCTGTGGAGAGAAATGCAGCAACTACGATGCAGAAATGATAGCAATTGAAACAGCACTGTACCATCTCCGTACAGTTTTTGACACTCATCCTGGAAAAGCACAGAGCATTGTGATTTTCACTGACTCACTATCAGTATTACAAGCCATAGAAAATTACCATCACCTAAACCAAGATTTGACCCATATACTGTTTGGATCCCATCATCTGATAACATTCTGTGGCATCAACCTAGTAATGCAGTGGGTCCCCTGACACTCAGACATACCTGGAAATGACAGAGCAGACACACTTGCCAAACGGGGATCTAGACAGGAACAACCCAACATTCCAACTTCATACAACACTGCAAAACAAATCATCAAAAGCAACAACAAACAAGATCGGATTAACAGATGGGCCCTGGGAAAGACAGGCAGAGCAGTTTTCAAACATATGACCACAACAAAAAGGAATGACAATATCAACCGCCTTCAGAGAAAGAAACAGACCACGATCTTCCGCCTTCGTACAGAACATATACAGCTCAACTTCCACCTGAACAGAATAAACCCGGAACTTCCCCCAATGTGTCCCTTGTGTGACTATGCATAAGAGACTGTGGATCATCACCTGTTCCACTGCACAGCCCTAAATGACACCAGAGCTACCCTTCTCCCTCCGAGACCTAACATTGACAACACACTCTATGGAACTTTACAGCAACTGAAGCAAACCTGCACTTATCACTACATGGCATTGGACAGAAGGGTGAGAGCCCAGCTGATGCTGGATCAATAACAACAACAACAACAACCCCCATCCCATGATTCGCTAAAACAATGGCTCCATAAAGTTCCTTCTGTATATAGGTTGGACCCCGTTCATTTAGTTTTAATAGGGGGAGTTGAACTATACCATCTTTAGTACAATAAGGGGAGCCATATTAAGTGTTCCGTTCCGTTCTTGCGCTCGCAACTCAATTCAGCAGTAGGTTACAATAACTCTATAGTTACAAACAAGCTGCTAGGTGGTGACAGTGACAGGGGAGTGAATCGGGAACCGGAAGGCAATACTTTTCCGCGTTCCGCTGAAGTGAATCACGAATCGCGTTCCGCAGGCAAGAGTGGCGATTCAGTTCCGTTCTCACGCTCGCGATCCAGCTTTATAACACAGAGGCCTTGGAGATCACAGACATGAAATTCAAACACCTCCAGGGACAAAAAGCAGATATCCCTAAAGACTACTATAATCTATTCTACAATAATATGTGAATTTTAAAAATAGTTTCAACTGCATCTGAGAGAGAAATGAGGAGGAGAAGGAGGATGAGAGAGAGAGAGAGAGAGAGAGAG